TGCAACTCAACTCAAATCCAAGTTTACTTCAGTTGACTATGGCGCTGGGCGCCCACACTTACACGTTCGACTCAGAGTTCACACGCAACTCAACTCCGGATCACCCTGGATACCATGCACGCCAATCACTGCACACACACATACACACTCACTAACTGTCTATGGCTATGGCGCATGGCCACTAACAGCTAACTAGCCTATCATTAACTTCTGCCCACTTCGTCTTCAGGCCATCTGCAGACCTCCCTTGCAGACCTCCCTTGCACAAGACGCCCGAGCAGCGCTTCCGCAGAGCTTCCGCAGGAATGAATGAATGGCTGGACGCAGCCTCTTGATTTATACTTCTGTGTTGCATTCGTTTGCCTTGCATCCCTGGCCCATGAGGCACWCAGTCCCCCCCGTGGTACTTGCTGGACCGGACTGGTACTTTCTAGACTTTCCCATGACTGCATRGTGACAACCCTACGACGCAGTGCAGTCGCAMTGRGRTCCTACTATTTGCCCTTGCCACTTGTCCTSGTCTCCAACATGGGCTTGCTTTAGTCACACCACTTGACCACTTGCCAACTTTCTAGAAAGACTGCAGCTGGACTTCTACTCTACAGGTCTATGGATCAAATCCTGGCTACCTAAGGACCTACGACAGACCTACTTACCACTGGCGGTTCTACAGGTCGCAGGTTCAATTCTTCAAGTGGACACAGATATTGTACACAGGTAAGTTGGGGAACTAGGGATCGAACCCTGGGTCCTACATCAGCTACTTCGAACTGGTGAATACCGTTTCAAAGAGGAGGAAGAGGAGGAAGAGGAGGAAGAGGAAAAGGAAGAGGATGAGGAAGAGGAGGAGGAGGAGGAGGAAGAGGAGGAAGAGGAAAAGGAAGAGGATGAGGAAGTGGAGGAGGAGGAGGAAGGGGAAGAGGAAGACAACGAAGAAGAAGAAGAGGACGACGAAGAGGAGGAAGAGGAGGAAGGGAAAGAGGAGGAGGATGAGGAAGAGGAAAAGGACGAGGAAGAGGAAGAGGAAGACGAAGACGAAGAAGAAGAAGAGGAAGACGAAGAAGAGGAGGACGAAGGGGAGGAAGAGGAGGAAGAGGAAGAGGAGGAAGAGGAAGAGGAGGAAGAGGAAGAGGAGGAAGAGGAGGAAGAGGCAGAGGAAGACGACGAAGAAGAAGAGGAGGAAGCGGAAGAAGAAGAGGCGGAGGAAGAGGAAGAGAAGACGATGAAGAGGAAGGAAGGCAACGACGATGAAGAGGAAGGAAGACAACGAGGATGAAGAAGAAGAAGAAGGAAGGAGAAGGAAGAGGAGGAAGAGGACGACGAAGAGGAGGAAGAGGACGAAGACAAAGAGGAAGAGGAGGAGGAAGAGGAGGAAGAGGACGGCGAAGAGGAGGAAGAGGAGGAAGAGGAGGAAGACGAGGAAGACGAGGAAGACGAGGAAGACAAGGAAGATGAGGAAGAGGAGAGGAGGAAGAGGACAACGAAGAGGAAGAAGGGGACAACGAAGAGGAGGAAGAGGACGACGAAGAGGAGGAAGAGGAGGAAGAGGAGGAAGAGGAGGAAGAGGAGGAAGAGGAGGAAGAGGACAACGAAGAGGAGGAAGAGGACAACGAAGAGAAGGAAGAGGACGA